ATGCCTATCCTGAGAAGCTACAGTTTCGTAACCATTTGAAATGGCTATTTGCCGCGCCAGTTTCGAGGATTCTTCCCTCTGCTCTCTACCTGTGCACACGCTGGCGGCGGTTCGAAACATATTTCTTATAAGCGCTCTTTTAGTGTGTGAGGGGTTGAGAGGAGCGGTAGTGAACCACTATATTCTTACTGTTTGGCTTTCGATACCATTTTGTGTTGTAGCCGTTCTCGGATAGGTTAACTTGAAGGTTTAGAAATGGAAGCCAGTTTTCTTTCGGTTTCTCACGGGTGAATTTTATGTACTCTGACTGTTCATTCAATAACTTAAAGCATTTGTCCATCTCCTCTTGTGTGGAGCAGATGACAAAACAATCATCTATAGTTCCCAGGATCGACTTTCTCTTAACCTCGGCATTGGAATATGTGTCGTTTTCTTGTTCAGCAATCGCGAGGTTTTTAAACAGCATACATTTACTTCCATAAAAACCCAATACAATACAATGAGTCGTCAACCACATGCGACTATAATCAGCTGTTCTAAACATCCTCATTGGAAGTCACGAAAAAGCGGCTCTGAAGAAGGCGATACTGCCGAAACGTCAGCTAGCGTTGTATTGTATTGTGTTTTTATGGAAGTAAATGTATGCTGTTTAAAAACCTCGCGATTGCTGAACAAGAAAACGATACAATCATCTATATACCTACAGTAGAGTAATGGCGTGAGATCGATTACTGGTGCTTCCACTTTAGACATAAAGGCAACGGCAAGGGTTGGTGCCAGTCGCTGTCCCATTGCCAACCCTCTAATTTGCGCGTAATATTTCCCGGACCATCTGAAGATCGAGCAGTTTAAACAGACCTTCAGGAGGACCATAAGCTGCTGAATCGAAAAGCCATACATGTTAATTGCTCCTTCGTGTTGCTCATGAAGCTCTCGGATGGTTTGCATTGCGGAGTCGTTCGACACGTTAGTGTAAAGAGCGGTAACGTCGAACGACTCTATAACGTACGCGATTTTGGGACGTGCGTTACGCAGACGGTCTAGGAACATTTGGGTGCTCGTGAGATGGGCTGGTATGTGCCTAAGCAACTGGTTGAGGATTAGGTTTATAAACCAAGCAATTCTATCTGTAGGCCCGTCTACACAACTGATGATGGGTCTCACTTTAAAAGTGGAGTGGTCGGTAGACGTCAGATCATCAGCGCGTATTAACTTATGGGTCTTGATAAGTAAGTATAGGACGGGACATGTCGGCACTTCGATCTTTAGATGCGAAATGTCTGCTGGTTTTAAACCTGCTGCGCTTGCCGTTTTGACCCATTCGCTGTTCAGTTTTCGATTTTGACTTCTGAATTCCTTTTCAGTAGATGCGCGATGAAGAGACGCGTCTTCGAGATGTTTTTCTGTTATATCGACATCTAACTGGCGAGGAATTACTACAAACTCTTCACCCTTATCACTAACTGATAGCCTAATAATTTTTGATTTTATTAGCTCTCGAACCTGTCGCATACCAGATTTTTGCGTAGCTGTCAGGTTCGAACTAAACCTTTCGCGCGGTAGTAGTTAAGGACTTTAAGGGTTTCGTTCGAAAAAATACGAAATTTTATATCGACTTCGTCGTTTGGGTCTTGCTGTCTAAAGAATAACCGAGGAAATGGAGGTGGTGGTAGTGCCCCTGCTGCTCGTTGTTCCTTTCTATTTTGTGTCTCAATTCTAGCGTTGCTTCGGAGTCGATCTTGGAGCTCGTGCAGGCTGCACGCTATCCTACGCAAGGTTTCTTTAGAAATGGGTTGCGCTGGTGAGAAGCTTGGACCTAATTCTAATAGCGAGCGCGCGTCATCAGGCAGAGTTATGCCTCCCAACACGGTGACCCTTGACATTTCAGGCACGTTATCGACCACANTGCTGCTCGTTGTTCTTTTCCATTTTGTGTCTCAATTCTAGCGTTGCTTCGGAGTCGATCTTGGAGCTCGTGCAGGCTGCACGCTATCCTACGCAAGGTTTCTTTAGAAATGGGTTGCGCTGGTGAGAAGCTTGGACCCAATTCTAATAGCGAGCGCGCGTCATCAGGCAGAGTTATGCCTCCCAACACGGTGACCCTTGACATTTCAGGCACGTTATCGACCACATTTTTAGTGCTCGCGCTTCCGTAAACGATTTTGCTTTGTTTAATTGAAGCTGACTTTTGCGAATGATCTAGTAAATTTTGAAACTTTCTGCTTAAGGTTACTTTAGTATTCGACCTAATAGAATCACAAATCAAAATTGACCCACCCACTATTCTCTTCCAAAGGGATTCCTCCAAATACTGGACACAATAAGATTCCTTCGACTTGCATTTCTTCAATTGCGCGTACATGGTGTTCTGCTTGTACCGAAGAGAGGCACGTAGTAGTCGCGTTTCGATGTCCAGTACTAGTTGGCTGTCCCTTGGTAGGCCGCACACATCGTGTAGTCGTTTTCGTTTGATGAAGTTCGGCACGACTCGGTGTTTCAGGCAGCGGCGGAGGAAGAGTATCGTTTGTCTAGCTAAGACAATTTTTTGTCTTAGTGACAGGACTTCTTTTACAAGTCGGAAATATTCTGCTGGCACTCCACGTAGTAATTCCCATGACCGACTTTCTGTTAACCTCGGCATTAATTGATAATTCAATGTTTTTCATCAATAAGCAGACACGAGGTTGTTAATATAGAATTTATTAGAACACAATTGCTNCGAAGAGAGGCACGTAGTAGTCGCGTTTCGATGTCCAGTACTAGTTGGCTGTCCCTTGGTAGGCCGCACACATCGTGTAGTCGTTTTCGTTTGATGAAGTTCGGCACGACTCGGTGTTTCAGGCAGCGGCGGAGGAAGAGTATCGTTTGTCTAGCTAAGACAATTTTTTGTCTTAGTGACAGGACTTCTTTTACAAGTCGGGAATATTCTGCTGGCACTTCACGTAGTAATTCCCAAGACCGACTTTCTGTTAACCTCGGCATTAATTGATAATTCAATGTTTTTCATCAATAAGCAGACACGAGGTTGTTAATATAGAATTTATTAGAACACAATTGCTGACGTTTCGGCGGTTTCGCCTTCTTCAGAGCCTGGAAAGGTCAAATTGAGATGTGATCTACTCAGCCAAACACTTTCACAACCCTAGCAGATAAAACTTGACAATTCGATTTGCATTCGCATAAGAAACAGCTTCATTCAAACACCTACCGTTTATTTGTTGTAAGTATTTTAGTTGGTGGATAGCCGCCGCACAGAGTAATACATGGTCGATAACTGTGTCCATGTCAGGTCATGGGTTATATCAATGGGTTCTTCCTTCCGAAATCCGACATGCCATTTCGTCGGTGAAAAATCGAACAGCGCCAGGTCCGGACAGGATAAGACCAGAACACCTGAAGAACCTTCTGCCAGTCCTAGTGCACACTGACTCGGCTCTTCACACGTTACCTGTCTGAATGCAAGGTCCCTACTCAGTGGAGGACCAGCAAGACCGTGTTATTGTTCATAAAAAGTGACCTACACGATATCGGCAACTATTGCCCAATCTGTTTACTGTCTGTTATCTACAAACTTCACTCGACTCATACTAAACAGGACTAACAGAACGCTGGACTAAGGGCAGCCATGTGAGCAAGCGGGGTTTCGGAATGGATTTGGTAGGACGTATCACATCTATACGGTAACACGGCTCACTGAAGTATTGCGAAAGTAGAAAAGACCACTATCTCCCACTTCCATCGATTTAAAGAAGGCCTTTGATTCAGTTGAGATAGAAGCAGTCTTGGAAGCCCTTGTTAGTCAAGGAGTCCCTACTCAGTACATAAAGATTCTTCAGGAACTGTTCAAAAATTTCACAACCAAGATTTCACCACTCTACAACGATATTAATGTTGACGTCAAAAGAGGGATTAGACAAGACGATACCATCTCGCCAAAATTATTTACCGCCAACCTCCAGAACGTCATGCGGACATTGGAATGGGATAATATGGGAGTGAAAATCGATGGTCGGCAATTACACCATCTTCGCTTTGGTGATGACATCGTCCTTATAACACCAAACATTAGCCAAGCGGAACGTATGCTTGCAGACTTTGGTAAAGTTCGTGGACAAATTGGTCCTCGACTAAATCTTACAAAAACGATGTTCATGAGGGACGGTTTGGCTTCGTATGCCCCATTCACGCTCAAAAGAACGAATATCTCCGAGTGCTCCAGTCATGTCTATCTAGGTCAGGAAATCAACATAATAAACGACATAGCTCCACTGCTGAGCAGAAGGAAACGAGCGGCTTGAGGAGCTTCCAACACCATCGGGGATGTATTCTTGCCCTAACGTATACGTCAGAAACCTGGTCGCTGCGTAAGCAAGATGAAAGATTACTCAGCGTTATTGAACGCGCAGTTGAGAGGACGATGCTAGGAGTATCCCGTGTCAAGCAAGTAAAGGAAGGGATCCGAAGCTCTGACCTGCGCCAACAATCAAAAATCAAAGATGCCGTTCTCTACGCCCAACAGTCGAAGATAAGGTGGGACGGAGACGTAATGCGTATGACAACCGATGGACACGAGCCGTTAGTGACTGGATTCCTCGGCATGTTGCGCACTGCAGGAAGACCACCGACTCGATAGTCAAAGTTTCTTACGAAAAGCCTAGAAGAAAGATATGATGCTCGACGAGTCCCTAGAGCAAGCAGAACCCACTGGGCTACTTTTGCACGCAACAGGGAAAAATGGAAAATTTACTGGCGCCCGCACGAGTCACTCGACGATCATCGGGATTAGAGGTGATACAGGTGAGCTTGAATCATGTCAACGGAAGACGGATTGAACTCAATTTAAGAGTTACTTTCATTGAAAATCAACCAATACAATTTTTTCTCCAATCCATCTATAAAGGATATGACGATGAAAAAGTGAAATGAGAACGGAGACAAAGAAAAGCGAAAGACCAGTCATCGTAACCTACAAGTGTTGAGGGCATAAAAATGTTCATTAGTCTCCGCAAAAATAAGTAATGTTAGATTGCCACAAATGATGTATTACTGAAGTTCTAGTCTTCCTTATAAATATATCATATTATATCTTCCCTACTCCTTCCAAGCCTTTTGCTCAATCAGCCGATCATTGTTCTCAGGAAAGGTGACCGAAGGATTTTTCATAGCTATCGACCGTGTGCTTATTCAGTTCACTCTACGACCTGTTGACGAAGATTATACTGTTGCACATATAAAAAACAATGAATTAGTCACAAACAGAAGAGCAAGCAGGATTTCGAAACAAATTTTGCTGGATGGACCACACCTAAACCATGTCCGGGTTTACAGTAGTTTGTTGGGACACATTCCTCTGCTCCCGTATTCTGGCGGCTATTTAAAACCGTCAGCGTTGAAACGAATGCAATCCTATTGAAGCTCGTCGACCAAAGAGTGGACTCGTCCTAATATAAACACTAGTTGACTGTTATCAAAACTGCAGCTCAACTATTTATACAGCTTTTCTATCTACATTATACAGCTAAAGCTATATTTACTGCCGCTACAGTTCATAACTAAGTCAATGGCTTGGGAGGATAAGTGCAACGTATTGATGGAAAATTTCTATCAAATCTTCGTTTGCCTAACGACATCAATATGAACGAAGCAGAGACGGTGATCAATGAGCTCAATGAGTCAGGAAATAAGTTCGTACTACCCATAAATCGGAAGAAGACTCAATTCCTGAAAAACCTATGGCGGGCAGATCAAAGTAGATGCTACTCTGATTACAAGAACCATCTCGTACGGGTACCCTTACCATGCAATGAACATGGAGAGCATAATTAACGAGCAATTAGAAAGAAAAAGGAGAAGAGCGTGGGCCACATTCGGGCATCTCAAAAAAGCCAATGACCAAGCAACGGACCCACAACTATACGCTCAACTTTTCGATTCAACAGTACTTCTAGCAATATGTATTCTTTCTTGATAAGCTTACACGAGGTTGATAAATATATTTATTTTCGGCTAACGTTTCGACGTCTTCGTCTTCCTCAGAGCCGGTGATCCGAGTCGATGGTCCCTGCTTGTTGTTCGCCTCGACGTTG